AGACAGACAGACAGACAGACAGACAGACAGACAGGCAGATATTATTGTAAACATCTTTTTTTGTTATCATCAGGAGACTGTTCTGTGCTACGATGGTTCTGTATCTGCTGTGTTCACGCGAAAGGTGCCCAAAGCCCCCAACAGCCGGGAATGCAGTGGAAGCGACGGAAGCAATGGAGGCTCTGGGCATCTCACTCTCACAGACACCCCGCGCTACTGTAGATCTGACAACAACAACCACACCATGGTAGGCCTACCGTTCGTCGCAGAGAATGGCGAGCACACCAGGAAAGGCGTGTGGGATGGGTCTGTCCAGCCGCACAACGGTACATTCTCGGGTACAGAACCAGAAAGCTATCTGGCTCCCGGTCGACAGCTGCTACATCATCAGCACCAGTACCAGCAGCATCTCAACAAGCAGCACCAGCAACAGCATCTGCAGCACCATCCGAGGCAGCAGACGCATCAGCAGCAGCATCAGCAGCAGAAGCAGCAGCAACAACAGCAGCTACACCATAATAACATACAACAGCATTTTCACAAACCTCGTCGCAGCGCCCGTCGGCACCTGGCTTGTGACTTCACATCAGATGTGAGTGACGTCACATCTTCAGAAGAGTATGACATGCTGGCTGCCAACGGTGCCCCTTCTCGTCGAAGACGGCGCCAGTACCAAATGAACTCGGAGCGCGTTCTTGCCTCACGCCTCAGGGTAGTTCGTCTTCTCGTCATTGTTCTTCTCACCTTTGCAATCTGCGTATTTCCATATCACGTCAAATTCCTCATCATGTTCTGGCACCCACAGCCAACATCGAAGCTTGATATTCTATCTCCTCTTTCATTTGCAATGCTGTACATGAACTCAGCGCTCAATCCTATACTTTATTGGGTTTTCTCGGATTCCTTCAGGACCAGCTTCAAGGACACCTGTCGGCGCACGTGCACGTCGTGTAGGAATCTCAAGAAAGTATAGCATTATCTCAAAGACAGAATAGACAGAATAGGGCTATGGTAAGGATGACTTCGTTCAAGAGCCGCCTACCAGCCCCCTTTCGCCGAAGGAGGCACGTAGTATGTGATCTTGATTGTGTTGATGATTGTCATTATTTTGAGAATAGTCCTGCCTTTCCAATAATTGTACAAAGTTCTTAAAGAGTGTGTCAAACTCTTATCACTTCAAAGATGGAATATTGTGTCTGTGCATGTCGTGAGGTTATACGTAATAGTTTGCGCGTGAGTACATGTTTGTTTATGAGTAAGGGTGCTGATGTGTGTCTCAGTGCCGAGGTGATTTGGCATTTTATGAGTGTAAGTTTATTTCCAGGACTGACATAACACAAGGGGGAAATTCAAAAACAAGCCATGCGTGAAAGAATAAATGAAATAATGTGTGCTAACAATGTAATTACAGATGATTGTTATTATTATTCAACACCTGCAGAAGTGACATTGTGGTGTCTTCAGTGTGTTGAAGCGGGCGTACTCCGTAGATAGAATGCTCCCATCAAAGTGTAAGTCTACAGTCGTCTTTTGGTGTAATGGTTATATCCAGTGCACGCTGCCAATCAGATTTATTTGATTGAGTCGGGGCCAGCTAGATCTTTCTTCATGGATGAGGCAAAAGCTACTATTTACTCTTGAGTCCTATACGACTAGATTCAATTAGATTCGACTGTGAATTTCAAAACCAAGCAAGTTTGTTTTTTATGATCATGAGTTGAATCAGTCGTATAGTGCCAAAACGGTAGCTTTTGCACCTCCTTGAAGGAAAATCTGGCTAGATCTAGTGCAGACTGAATCAACATCGATCCCAATTAGCAGTGTGCACATAGCATACGGCTCATTTACGTAAACAAAGAACATACTGTTTTAATTCCCATTTGGGGAATATATTTTATCGACTATTTCCTATCTATGTGCTGGATCGGAATGAGCGACATTTCTCGACCAAAGATGGCTATTTTTGCTACATGACCATCTTTGTGTCGACTGGGGCAGAAAAACATAATAAATGACTTAACGTTTATTGCTATTACTTATTCCAGCATGCCTACTTTGTGAGCTAAGGTTCAGATTGCTGAAGAGGGTCAATTTTATGTTACAACCTTTCGACATGACTGGTTGCCGAATAACTTGGTCAGCTCTTTACTTGAGTTGTGGTTAATTATGTAATCCTACTTGCTTTCCATCACTGTCTCACCCTCTCGCCTTCATTGCAATAATGATAATAATAATAATAGTAATAGTAATAGTAATAATAATAATAATAATAATAATAATAATAATAATAATAATAATAATAATAGTTATACTGATGATAACTGTGGTCCCTTATAGTAAAAAATCAGGCAACACCAAAGCGCCTGCCTAACTATTATAACAACAGATGTTGGCTTCAGTAAGCTAAACAGAAGTTAGAACCTTGAAGACATCGTTGACGGAGATGAGTGTTAAAAATTGCACCCTTTTCGGTCTGTAATGAGATGCAAGATTTTCAACATATTTATTTCCTCGCAGTGCATTCCATATTTTAAGTGAGCATTAGTGAGTGAAGAAAAGTGTAACAACTTCTACTTTTAAACTTTCAGTGTTGAAGAAAGTTTCTAGAAAGCGCTGATTCTTCACGCATACTCACAGACTATGTATGTGTGCGTGTCTGTGCGTATGTGAGTATGTATGTATGCATAATATATTTATATAT